AGCCAATGGCAAGACTAATCATTCCACCATCAGGACCACAGCTGCAATACGCTTATATCAAACAAACGCGGATGAACAAACCATTTACGAACATACAGGTAAACAAAAAGAGAAGTCCCTGTGTGTATAAAACGAACTGGGTGGTTGATCTTTTGTTACCGAGTGTAAGATAAAAAAAAGTGTAGCCGCGATGTATTATAACAAGCAATATTTTTATACAGAAACTTAAAATGTTCAAAACTGAAGTTGAATGTCTAATTGACGCTAGACGGTAAGAATGCGGAAAAAGCATTTTGAAAAAGTGAGTGAGTATGGTTTTACGCCGCTTTTAGCAATATTACAGCAATATCAGGGCGGGGGACACCAATATGTGCGTCACATATTGCACCCATGTCGGGAATCGAACCCGGGTCTTCGGCGTGACGAGCGAACGCTTTAACTACTAGGCTACCCGACCGCCCCCATTTTGAAAAGCATATCCGAGTATATATATAAATATATAAAGTGAGAGAGAGAGAGAGAGAGAGAGAGAGAAGGGGGGGGGGGGGGGGGGGGGAGTATCACGCGAGTGTGTTTGGGGATGGTAAATATACTGCATTAGGAATAAACATTGTATTGAGCGAGCCTTGCAGGATATTTACCATCCTCAAACACACAAGCATGATAACCTCTTTATCATACAATGTCATTCTTTAATTCTGTGCTTGGAAATCGCTTTCCCTCTCTCACAAATATTACCTAAACATAGCGAGTTTTCCTGGAATGCGCGCATTAATACTTATATCACGTCACAGGTTAAGTGATGTCTCAGTCGGAAAGTGACAGTAGCCAATATAGATCCAATTGAAATCTGTTTCTTAAACAGTGGCGAAACAACATATATGCAAAGCAACAATTGTTTTTACTTGCATTTCGCGCCATTCCATTGGTCTGTCCGCTAGAGTAACTGCCCTTTGTCAAAGGGAAGCTACTCTAACCCTAGTCTATGAGACGTCACGACCACGTTCAGACGTTGTTGATAGTCGGCCTGTCCTGTCATAACGTTAAGAAGTAATGTACACACAGCGATAAAACGAAACAAGGTAACAATTCAAACATATTTCGGCCAAATCCAACTATTTTAATTTGTGGAAAAGGTTTCAAGCCGTAAAGGTCTACAAGCACAGATAAGGCTACTGATCCCGTTTGGCTAAGCCTAGCGCCCTCGCAAAATTGTTTCGAAATTTATATCTCCAAAGTTGCCAAAACTTATAAATTGCCTTAGCGACGTCACAGTTAGACACTGATTTTAAGTATATTAGACTATTCTTTTGATAATGATAGCAATTATCTCTGTAGTTTATCCAGATTCTCGATGGTTAATTCTGACTCGATTGCCGAATGACAAGGACGACGCCATGTTTGTTTATAGACACTGAAAGTAGTCCCTACTTGACCTTTGATATTTGCATCACTATCCGCATTTGACCCCAACGGATATCGTTTTTATGCGTTGGCGTTATTCTGCCTAGAAACCTACCCATTATATGATATATGTTGAAGGTCATGGAAGTAATGCGGTGCGCTAAAGACACCAAGTGATGGGCAGACGACGCTAGTGTCTGACCTCCTAGCTCTTTGTTCCGGAAAATTAAGACTCGAACACCACTGGCAACTGTTACTACTTATCTGGCGTCACTAGTAGCTGATAGTACTTCGCTGACACCACTGGCAACTGCTTATACTTATCTGGCGTCACTGGTAGCTGATAGTACTTCGCTGACGCCACCGGCAACTGTTACTGCTTGTCTGGCGTCACTAGTAGCTGATAGTACTTCGCTGACACCCCTGGCAACTGCTACTACTTATCTGGCGTCACTAGTAGCTTATGGTACCTTGCTGACACCACTGGCAAATGCTACTACTTATCTGGCGTCACTAGTACATGATGGTACTTCGCTGACACCACTCGCAACTGCTACTACTTGTCTAGCGTCACTAGTAGCTGATAGTACTTCGCTGACACCACTGGCAACTGCTACTACTTGTCTGGCGTCACTAGTAGCTGATAGTACTTCGCTGATACCACTGGCAACTGCTACTACTTATCTGGCGTCACTAGTAGCTGATAGTACTTCGCTGACACCACTGGCAACTGCTACTACTTATCTGGCGTCACTAGTAGCTGATGGTACCTTGCTGACACCACTGGCAACTGCTACTACTTATCTGGCGTCACTAGTAGCTGATGGTACTTCGCTGACACCACTGGCAACTGCTACTACTTGTCTAGCGTCACTAGTAGCTGATAGTACTTCGCTGACACCCCTGGCAACTGCTACTACTTGTCTGGCGTCACTAGTAGCTGATGGTACTTCGCTGACACCACTGGCAACTGCTACTACTTGTCTAGCGTCACTAGTAGCTGATAGTACTTCGCTGACACCACTGGCAACTGCTACTACTTGTCTGGCGTCACTAGTAGCTGATAGTACTTCGCTGACACCACTGGCAACTGCTACTACTTGTCCAGCGTCACTAGTAGCTGATAGTACTTCGCTGACACCACTGGCAACTGCTACTACTTGTCTAGCGGCCTTAGTAGCTGATAGTACCTTGCTGACGCCACTGGCAACTGCTACTACTTGTCTAGCGTCACTAGTAGCTGATGGTACTTCGCTGACACCACTGGCAACTGCTACTACTTATCTGGCGTCACTAGTAGCTGATGGTACCTTGCTGACACCACTGGCAACTGTTACTACTTATCTGGCGTCACTAGTAGCTGATGGTACTTCGCTGACACCACTGGCAACTGCTACTACTTGTCTGGCGTCACTAGTAGCTGATAGTACTTCGCTGACACCACTGGCAACTGCTACTACTTGTCTGGCGTCACTAGTAGCTGATAGTACTTCGCTGACACCACTGGCAACTGCTACTACTTATCTGGCGTCACTAGTAGCTGATAGTTCTTCGCTGACACCACTGGCAACTGCTACTACTTATCTGGTGTCACTAGTAGCTGATAGTACTTCGCTGACACCACTGGCAACTGCTACTACTTATCTGGCGTCACTGGTAGCTGATAGTACTTCGCTGACACCACTGGCAACTGCTACTACTTATCTGGTGTCACTAGTAGCGGTCACCACTGGCAACAGCTTGTACTTCGCTGACACATCTGCCAACTGCTGCTAGACATACTTCGCTCGCGGAACCTCTTCTATTGACAAGTGACAACTTGTACTACACCGCTGGGACAACTGGCAACTGCTACCGCTTCGCGGGTACCACTGGCAACTGCTGCTTCTTCGCGGGTACAACTGGCAACTTCTGCTAGACGTACTTGGCTTCGATGTGATACGATGATTTTACAAACAATTTTAAAGCCTCGTATCAGGGTTTACAATGACCTTTGTAAAAACCTTCAACCTTTAAATAAGAGAAGTCAACATAAATTCCCATGGCTGCATTTTGGAGAAAGGCACAAAATGGCTTCTTCCATTGTTAGTGACGTAATAATTTCTATGGGAACATCACAAACACAACAGGGTGACTTCCTCGAAGTTTCTTTAAAGGGGCGGTTACTCATTTACATTTACAACGTTTATATCCTAAAATAATCAATATTTAGTGTGACCCCGAGAGAAGCTCCAAATGTATACTTGTGTATTGTGTTAATGTTCTTGTGCCAATGGATATGTTTATTCCGATCTGTTGTAACTCAGATGCACCCATTTGTAAGTAAAACCGATAGCTGAATATAGTGAATGGCCCTCCGAAACTGTTTGTATGTGCACTGCAGCAAATATGTCGTGCTATTGGCTACATGTCAGATTTTCTCGGGATTAAAAGCACTTGATTGATATATCAATATTTATACCATATTGAATGTTGGTACCGCGGTTTGATTTCATCAAAAGTCACTGAGATGGATGTGATCCGATCATAAAAGAATATTGGATTTACTTTTTGTAGCGGTAGGTAAATGCATTCATTCCCACGAGCCATAGCTTCATGTCAAGTAAACGTGGATGACCAAACTATTTTCGAGCATACAGGAAAACATATAGGATTGTCCATTAGTGTTTTATGCCATTTAATATATTCGCTCTATAGACATACGAACAGTTTATTCTGTTGTATATGAGATAACTGATTTTATACGTGACTATAGTGAGTGAGTTGGGTTTAACGCCGCTTTTACCAGTATTCCAGTTATTTCACGGAGGGTCAGCTTAATGTGGGAGGAAAGCCCAAAGTGATGCTGGTCTTAGACGTTTACCACTTCGGTGAAACCCACGAGCACGGGTATGGTGCTGACAAACCTAGAAACATAATCGGATTCGAACCCACAATCATAGGTTTCTGGCGTACCCAAGGAACGCAACTCTGCACAGCGAATCGCGGCGCCTTAGACTATACCCATTGTCAGTTGTATTCTAATACCATCGATGTACAATGGGATGTTTATCATGAAATTAATTGATCCACACCACTTATTAACGGGACTACACGGTTAATACCTTTACTCCCCCGACCACGTACTCAATCAAAACAAAACATAAAAGTCTATTATCTTTGCTTTCAAAATGGGTATAAAAGTACAATAAATAGCAGGCATTGCAGGTAGATTAATAACAATGATAGTGTAATAGGAGTTGAACGGGTTTTATCTCTCTTAAAAGAAAACAAATACCACTACGTGGGATAAATGGGTTGATATTCTTGAAAAAATTGAATACTAAATTAGTAAAAATATTTCTGCCGAGTTGGAAGCTAAAAGGGTTTTCGTCTATAGCGGAAGAAAACAATGTTATTTTACATAAGACCCACACACGATATACTATATTGAACACATAGATGATACACTACATCGGAAACATCGATAATAAACTACAGTGGACACATGGGTATGCTACATTGAACTAATAAATGATATAAGATATGTGTCATATATGGATCCTATATAGAAATATAAACTAGGAAAAAAAGATGGTATACTTTATAGGTCACATGTTTTATATATCCCATACCACACTTAATGTTAATACTACACAGGACACATCAACCAGGTCAGCGCGCCTGACCACCCGATCCGGTTTGTGACTGACATACACACTTGACCTTCCCTAAGCTCTTGTCGGGTGTTCTTAATTTCAATAGTTAGTTTGCTTAAAGTCATATAGGTTTGAGACACCAGACAAGTAACAATGTTACAGTTTCATTTACAAGTTAATATTTTCTTAAATGCTCGACGAAAATCGGGACTGCTAAAATTGTAAAGGAAAGGGTTGATGGTTGAGTTGAGATACGTCAGCCAAAATGTTATGGTGTAGATGACCTCTGGAACAGCTTCCGGGTCAAAGGCGCTGATGTCAAATACGATGTGGAAGGGGACCCAACATATCATGTATCCAACTAAAATATAGGTCAATGTCACAAACACTTTCCGCTCTCGCTTGTCTGTTGAACTGTGGTCCGATTTATTAGAATGGGGATTGGGGGGTTTGAGAGAAGTGGAAGGTTGTGCAGGGAGCCCTGTTTCAACTGTTGAGGTTGGGTTGTCGCAGTCATGAACGACGCTAATGGTCGAGACGGAACTTGGGTTGTCATGGGCGTCGTTATTAGCTTGGGAAGCTTGCAGTTTTGCTGGATCGAGCAGAATTGGTGTTCTAGAGTTGGCGTCTTCGTGGACGGATGGTTTTGGTTTGGACGAGGTGATTGGCTTTGAAAGAGGACCAAGTTTCGCACGTTTCTTCATGAACAAAAACACTTTCAAGAAACAGAATATTTGTATCACACAGGCGCCGTGGTGACCCACTGTTGCAATTACGATGACAAACGCCTTGTTTTCGGACGGTTCCCACTTGCAGACTCCGGGTTCGCTGTGGGCGATGCGGTCGGTGATGCAGGGAGGCAGCCATAGGATCAGCATGAACAACCTTAAACGAGACAGACATTGGAAATATATAAGCAGGGCAAAAACATTACATCTGGAGATGTTAAGTGATTGAATATTGTTTTGAGCCACTGTCAGAATTATTCCAACAGGTTTGCTTTAAATGGACTTCCGGTATGGCACGCATGTGAGTGGCGTCCAGTGTCGAGATCCTTCCAAATAGACAGTAATGAAAATGGCCACAAGTACAAGAAATCGAACTAAAAATGATACAGACGGGAAAGCTGCCACCCTTACGGAAGAATTTAGAACGAACAAAAATAGAAATACGTCAGACATAGAAACGATGTGGAGGCACAGACAAGCATGGCGGCCGCCATTGAAATGGAGACGATTTTAGACATGAAAGGCTTCATAACCTCATCATTGCGAGAACACAAAACTTAAATTACTAATAAAACAGACTCTACTAAAGATGAGACAACGAACATATCCAATAAATTGGAAGAAACCTACGCTCAAACATTACATGCGATAACATGACAGACATCGGAAAACTACGAGAGGTATATCTAAGGAAAAATAATTTGCTTATCTACTGCATTCCCGAAAATGAAGACCCCGAAACGGCATGCAAGTAAATCTTCAGTGAATTCGGAATCGACGACGACCAGACCTTAATGAACATTCATCCCCTACCTCGTTTCAAAACCCCGGAACAGAAGCACAGCCTCATGCTATAATCATAAACTTTATCCACATGCAAGACCGACGGGCAGCTTTCAATGCGGCCTGGAAATCAAGCAGTCTCCGTTCACGCAAAATAACCATAAGAACAGACTTACCGACTCCTTTGAAGAAATTCAGAGGCAAACTCGCAGCAAAGGCCTTTGAAATGAGGAGAACACACCAAGTACAAACCAAAAGATTCGAGAAAGGAATAGAAAAAACAGTGAAGCCCCTGAAAGACTATAGAGTTGGACGACCCCATCACAACTCTTAAGTAGAGAGTTCTAAGAAAAAGTATAATAAACCAGGACGGTCAAATAATGTAACTGAAACCCAAGACGCTTGACTTTTCAGTTAAAAGGAAGAATTTCCTATTCAGCTTTTTTCAGATCTACTCATAAATGTGAACATCCATTGGATAAGTAAGAAATAGACTAAGTGATGTTGTAGGAACTACGTGTAATCCGCTCCCCGTTTATATGTGTGAAAAAAAATTCTCGGAGGAAATCATAACGGTTTTCAGACTATCATCGGGTGGGGTGGAGGGGGTATGAATACACCCTGGAACAGCATGTAAGTATGGCAACACGACTTGTCACCTTCCACTATTTTCATTAACTTCGGAGATTGTGCATGTCTTATTATTAATTCTCCGGGCCTGAATGGCGTTTTGAACTATCCTATTATTTTTTTTATTTGCCAACATTATTATATATCGTATGTGGAACGTATATGTTTACAATAATATTTTTTCGTAACCTTCCGGAAACAGTACCTTACGGAAACATGTCAGTAAATAAGTGTCACTTTATATGTTTGACATCAAGGACTTAACAGTAAAATGATTATCCTCGAGGAGGTAAAATAATACCCTTGGAAAGAAATAGTCGAGCAGGTGATCATAACGGTTTTCATACGTATCGTCCGGTTTTTACTGAACTTCCGGAAGCAGTATGGAGATACGACCAGTTGCCTTCCACTAATTTCATTTAACTCGTGAGATGTTGCATATCTTAGTATTTCCTCTCCAGGCCTGCAAATTGTTTACAATGAAGATATCGACAACACAAATAACCTTGAACAAATATATTTACAGAACTTTATCTATTATAATACAGTAAACTACGTTTATAACGAACACGCTTATAACGAACTGGCGGATATACCGAACTGTTCTTTTGGCCCCGGCCATTTGCTGTATATATGCTGTATATATGCTGATAACGAACTACGGTTATAACGAACTAATTTTTTTTATCCCTTTGAGTTCGTTATAACCGTAGTTTACTGTACACAGGAAATTGATCATGTGACGATAATGGGAACATCTGATAAGTCATTATCAGAAATATGGCAAACAGCCAGTATGGAAACAAGTATCAGGAACCAACATGGGACACATACAAAATTCGGTACAACCACCTGGAAAACTTCGTGTTTTTGTTTTCATATCTTATGTTTATCACCCATATTGTGATATATACACACACAAAAATACGACAATGAATACATCTCTTCACTTAATACATTACTCACTGTACGTTGTTACTTTAACAGGAACATATATTTGTACACCTTTAGAAAATGGCTAACAAAATCAAAATAACATCTGCTAACCGTAGGAGCTTGGGGAATAAGAATTAGATAAAAGAAACAATGAATACTTGGCGAAAAATACGGTCCGCTATATATGCAACATCCATATTATAAAAGAGAATACTATGCGCAACGAATGGTGACTACAAAGTATCATTGCACCCTATAAATCAAATGCTAGACGAGTAGCCATTTTAGCCATTTTTCTAATAACGAATCTACAGCAATTTGTGGTTGGTTGGTTTGTTGTTTTACGCCGCACTCAGCAATATTCCAGCTGTATGACGGCGGTCTGTAAATAATTGAGCCTGGACCAGACAATCCAGTGACTGATATCATTAGCATCGATCCACACATTTGGGATCGATGACATGCTTCAACCAAGTCAGCGAACCTGACCACCCGATCCCGTTAGTCGCCTCCTACGACAAGCATAGTCGCCTTTTACTTTGTGGTGCCTGGAATTGGTCAAAATCCTTCAAAAGACCTTTAAAGCTAACGAAGCATACACAATCCACGAGCAAGAAATAAAGTTGTGGAATACATGGTAGATTGTGAAGTCTAGAAAGAAAATAATAAATAATAATGTAAATGACAGCAAGCTAGATAAGACTTAAGTGAGTGAGTGAGTATGGTTTTACGCCGCTTTTAGCAATATTCCAGCAATATCACGGCGGGGACACCAGAAATGGGCTTCACACATTGTACCAATGTCGGGAATCGAACCCGGGTCTTCGGCGTGACGAGCGAACGCTTTAACTACTAGGCTACCCGACCGCCCCGATAAAACTTTATCTCTGGTCTCTTGAGAGATATTTAATCTCACTCAACAATCAGTCTCGCTAGGACATAAATCCGATCACTCAGTGACCACCCTCTAATGCACTAAACAAAAGTTTGATGCCTCTTTATAATTCAAATGAAGAGCTTAGAGCTAAAAGGGGCCAAATGGGCTTTGGCCCTTTTTGCATATTATTGCATAAATAACATCTATGAGTTCTTGTCTACCTGAAGAAAAATTATTGTATGTTTTCAATGATGCGTTTTTTTAAATATAGCTACTTAAAATTCTATAAAGGGCCAAAGTCAAGTTCCGAAAGGGCCAAAGTCACTTTGCTTGATTGTGGCTCTTTTAGCTCTCATTTCCGTGTGTGGTTAAGACTGGTTGCCTGAGAGAGATTTCGAAAGTCTGGACACCTTATTATTGTATTTCAACTATTTCAACAAAGTTGGCATTAGTTTAAATCATTTAAAAGTACTTCAATAGTATGTGTTTGTACTTTCAGTAGTAGTTTATCAATCTCACATGTTAAATCCAATGCAAATGCCTGAGGGTCAAACAGGGCCAAAATACAGACATTAAAAACGTAAGTTTATTTCCCTTTTTGAATGTTTTTATAACAAAATATATATCTCTGCTGTCAGAATGCGTTAATATCTAGGAATTTATCGGTAAGAAAAAAGATCATCAACATGCATGATATTATGTGTTTTCATCACTTTTCTCAAAACAGACTCCACATGACATTGGCCCTTATGGCTCTAACCTCTTCAAATATGATTTTGTACAAGTATAAGAAAATTTTAGGGAAACAAAATTAGAATAATTAAATAATTATACTAAATTCACTTTTACAAACAAAACTGTAGATGACTTAGACTTTGAATTGAAACTCGGATTCGCTTTTCTGAAAACCTTTTTAATGAAAGTGAAAGTGAAATCAATATAATTAGGATCATATCATTAAAAAATGAAAAAGACAACATAAACATCTTTTGGAAACTCCAATTACAGAATTTGAAAATGAGAGAAGATGTATCAATTTTTTAAGGAATCGATACGAGAAGAAATCAGAGAAGAGGAAAATAAAGGTATAAAAATTAGAAAAAGAAAACACTGGTATCACACACCTATCCACCTATAACTGAAGGGAGTGGTCTAAGATGCTGTGATTCGCTGTACAGTTGCGTTCCTTGGGCACTCAAGAACCCTATGATCGCGGGTCCGTATACCGTTTCGCCACGATTAAATCTGAGTGAGAGAGTGAGTTGAGTTTAACGCCGATTTTAATACTAGTCCAGTTATATCGCGGCGTGTCAGCTTAATTTGGGAGGAAAGCCCGAAGTGATGCAGGTCACAGACGTTTACCACTTCGGTGAAACCCAAGAGCACGGGTATGGTGCTGACAAACCTAGAAACATAATCGGGGCGAACCGGGATTCGAACCCAGAATCATAGGTTTCTGGCGTGCCCATCTCTGCACAGCAAATCCCGGCGCCTTAGACGACTGGGCCTACCGTGCCCCCGGATACATGTGTAGTTTATCATGGACATATCTCATAGGTATGTGTTTTATCACATTTTGTGGATACATCTTTACATGCGTGTATCGAATCAAAAGCAGTTGACTTCTCATGATGTGTTAATGCAGTTGTAATTTACTCGTAAAATGGACTCAGTTTTGGGGAGAGATTTCGTATAATTATGGAAAGGACATTTCTTTATTATCTTATCGATTTCTTCTCCCATATCTGAGAAATGACCATGTACTCATTGTGTGAAGAGCTCATGTCGCCACAAGATGGAACTATTTAATCCCTATCTGTTGACAGAGCCTCTGGGTGCGACTGATTAGATTGATAATGTATCAACGCTGAACATATCGATGTACATACAGCGAACGCCTCTTGTTGGGTGATATTTGGACAGTACTGTGT